ATTTTATTTATACCCCGCCGATCTGGCCTAAAAGACCACTCTAGGCGGCTTTTTGTTTTTGATTGTACTTAACTGTGACTAGAAAATAACCTTGGTTACCAACTGACCATTCTTGCTTTGACCTCATCTTCATTCTCTCCTCTTTATGTACCAAATGTTACAAGGGTCTTAAATTATTATGCAGTTAAGATTAATGATCTCCTTGAATCTGGGAATATACAGAGGTGTAATTGTTTGGAAAGAATAGGACAAATATCATATTGACCAGAAGCAAATGGGAAAGTGTTACTCTCTAATGCTAATAATAATTTAAACCTAATAGAATTATTTTTAACAAGATCTACATTCCCAATGTTTTGTATTTTTCTGGCATTCCTTTTGTGCTTAAATTATGCACAGTTTAAGAACTTACCTCTCTTCTGACCAGATATTCACTTTCTGCTGAGCAGTGTGGGAAGCGCTGTCACTACAGTGCTGATATCGCACTGGAGAGAGCTGCTGCCGGAGTTGCTCCAGCTCACGCTCATACATCATCCTCTGCTCCTCCAAAGCACTGCGCTTCTCTTCCAAATACTGTTTCTCCAAAATCTGTACCACATTTTGTACTGGATCTAGACAGAAAGGAAGCAATCATATCTTAAAATTCATTCCTTTTATTGCTGAAATTTAAGCTACCATGATAGTATACGCCAACTTTGTTATTTCTTTACACATGAAAGAAAACAATCATACAGCTACAATGATCCAAAGGGAGGTCAGAAGATGAGATTTTATGTGTTATTTTCTGTCACCAGGGTCCCGTTATCACAAGAAGAACGTGAAAAGAGGGAGGAAATAAAATGCTGAGCTTCACGGATTGGCACACCACCACTACCACTTCATAATTGGTCAAAGAAGTAACAATATTAAGATTTCGGACCAAAACACACTTAACTGGAAGTAAATTCTACACAGCTCTGAGACTTTTTCCTAAGTAAGGGTATCTGGGATCGGTCTGTCAAAATGGAAATACTTTTGCTCAAATAACATGATTTGTTCCAATATCACTTCTCAAAAAGTCACTATATAAGGAACAGTCAGGTATTCCTTATCTTCACTGTGTTAAGACTGATAAGGAAGACATGATCGTTGCCTATTTAGTGGCTTTCTAGGAAGAGATGTCATAATGGGAAACAAGAGAATAGACTGAAAATATATTACTGTACTACATTCCAGAAATTTCTGTGCTCTTGTCTGGCATTTTCACTAGCTCTGAACAACCATACTCTTACCATTGCTATTCAGTGTTTTCATTATAACTTCCATTTGTGCAAATTCATAGTTATAGTCTGGTTCTGAAGAAGCTTCACTAGCTGCATCTAGATCATGTTCTGCTAACAGCATCTCCTTTTCAGAGTCTTTCAACCAATCTCGCCGCTTCCTCTTAGGTAGATTGATTCTATTAAAAAGTTAGTAGCATAGTTATCAAAGGTCTTGGTGGATACAGAAAAACAACAGGTAAGGTAAGAATCACTGTCCTGATTGGGGGGGGGGAGGAATGAAAACTTGTTCCAACAAAAGGGGAAGGGCAAAAGAAGCTGGAGGCAGTGGGCTAGAGATGTGATTGTACTTATTGGCCGTTATACAGGTTCTGAAAAAAGAGTGCACATCCAACAAGGGACATCTCAATTGCTCAGCAATCTTTTTTCTGTTTTACTGTCTCCCCCACCCCCACCCCCCAATTTGTGGAACTGTTAGATGATATGGACCATCAATGAAAGGAAAGCATCTAAAAGTGAATCAAGCAATTTATATTATTCTCTTCCTCCCAACCAGTAAAAGATAAAATCAAAAAGAAATATCATGTTCTGCATTACAATAGTGTTTTATGTAAATATACATGTTGCTTTCACTATTTTTCATCTCAGCATGCATGCAGTTCAAAACCTACTCTGTAATTGTAATGCTCATGATCACCAGTTGGATCTATACCAACATTTAGACTAGATGAACACTAGCATTAAGAAAGTATCCCCACAGACTTATGCTCTCTCCAACACAGTTACCATGATAAAAGAAGAATAATCTCAGAACATATTCTGTAGCATTCTTAAAAGCCTAAAATATCAAATAATCTGTATACCATCTATTGCTAGTCTAGGAAACCTAGCTTTACAAAATTCTAAATTAGAACAATTGGGAACTGCCATTTGGAAGCAAAAATATTTGCTGCTTATATTTGGACTTGATTTAGGTTGAAAAAATTATCTAATACCTAAAAAAATGGTTGTTTCCCCATAAGATTCTATCACCATGCCACAGTTGTGTTTCAGAACACACCAAACTGCCGTTTACACAAGATCTGGAAAAAAAAAAGCACAATATTGTTACAATCAAAATCATCCCCTTTTATACACGTCCTCAAACTCCGAAATAGTAAACTCATGCAATACCAATTCTACTCCGCCACAGCCTCTTACTCATTCTGGACCACAACCAGTGTCACTTTATTCAGAGGGCAAAGTGGGCATTTGCCCAGGGCCCACTGTCTGTAGGGGCCCACACGAAGAGGGGGGATTTTTTTTCTCTCCTCTGTGATGGTGCTACACAGCCTGCACTGTCCGCTGCTTGCTGGGCCTTTGAAGTCTTGTGTGCTGAGGTCATGTGACACAACCATGATGTGTGACCTCACGCTGTAGCACCGGCCATGCACACCACCTTTCCTCCTGCCACCTGTGTCATTAAGGACCCTGGCCTGGGGGAGCTAACAGTAGCAGGCATAGCATTCAGAGGCTGTTTTCGGGGCAAAGATGGTACAGAGAGTCTGTTAGGGGGCTAAAATAACACAGAGATGCTGTTTGGGGGCTGACACTGACAAGCTGTCTGGAGGCACAGAGGGTATTAGCATGATGTACAAGGTTTATGCATTGGTCATTAGCATGATACACCAAGTCTATGTATTTACTGCTCATTGGCATAATATACAAAGTTTATGCATTGAAATGGTGTGTTTGTAAAATTCTCCTTCTATCAGAGAACAATATCTTACCTGCCAGTATTGATTAATTCTTGGAGCCAGAACTGTGGGTGGTCTCCCCCCCCCCACTTACACTGTTCATGTTGTATGACCTATTTAGGTGGGAGGTAATGAAGAGGGAGGGAGGAGGAAGGGGCCCCTACTATTATATTTTTTGCCCAGGGCCCAGCAGAGTCTTGAATTGGCCCTGACCACAGCTGGACGTATTGCTAAACACAGAAGCAAAATAGTAGCTCAGTTCACCTCTGCCTACAGTACTTGTTACAATTCTCTTTGGATCTGTGAGGAAAAGGGAAGAGTGTGACTGAAAACGATGTTACAGTGGGATCTCAACTTACAAACTTAATCCGTATTGGAAGGCGGTTTGTAGGTCAAAAAGTTTGTAGGTCGAATCTGCATTTCCCATAGGAATGCATTGAAAACCATTTAATCCGTATCTGCTCTTTTCCGTCCATAGAAACTAATGGGAAGCTGCTATTCCGCCTTCTACCACTAGAGGGGGATATTTTTTCTTTTTTTCCTTAATTCAAGAAAAGTTCAGGAAAGGAGGGGGGAGGCAGGGAACAGTTTGCAAAGCACTTTTGAAATCTTTTTTTTCCCAACTAAGCCAATTTTAAAGTATGTTTTAAAGCATGTTGTGCTGATTTTTTCAGCACAAAGACACACAAGCAGGAGTCTGGAGCCAGCCAATCAGCTGTTAATCAGGGAGAGAAGGGGGCAGGAGCAGAGAAAAGCACAAAATGGCTGCCAGGCTCCCTTCTGGGTGTCGGCTTTTATCTGTTTGCTGTTCTTTTTCCTGCAGTTCGGGGGCTACCAAGGCCTGGTAAGTGACTTTCTTTTATTTATTTTTAAGTTTCTGACCTTTTTTCCCCTCCAGAAGCCTCGAAGGGAAGGGAGGGGGCACTTTTTTCCTGTTCGTAACTCGAGGGAAGTTTGTATGTCGAGTCTTTATTTCCCTATCGGGCGGGTTCGTAAGTTGAATTGTTTGCAAGTAGGGTCGTTCGTAAGTCGAGACCCCATTGCAGAAAGGAAACTATCCTACTCGTGTAACCAAAAATTTGTATCCTGCTTCACGTCCCCTCCAAGACACACAGAAATACTACAGTGGGAGAAAGAAAGCCTACCATTCCCAGCTCTGGGATTAACATATATCAACAGATGAACTACCAATTCACTTAACCTGGAGAAGACTGAGGGAGATTTATTCTGATTCAGCACAGGGATGCCTCATAAGAAAAAATTCTGATCTAATTTTTCTGTCTTCAAAGGTCAAACATGCATGAAATAAATGCATAAGCCATGTACTCATTGTTAAATCATGAAGGCTATAACTAACAGGACACTGATTCTGACTGACAATTAATTATGCTGTTGCAGCACCTCCTTGCAGTAAACAGGAGAGTACTTCTATTGTAGCAATATAACATGTAGCACAACCGTAAGTAAGAGGGTCCCAGGCTGTTCACTGTAAACAGTTTGCACAAACCCAGTTAAAATCTTAATGAGGATGTGCATAAGCTGCATCTTAAGTTACACAGAATCTTCCAGAATTAAGTCACTTTAACTGAAGTAGGTTAGTAGCAACTAAAAACAGGGGGAAACATTATTATAGGCTATGAGACAAATTTGGAGAGACAGTGTCATTTGTACAAAATCTACCCTGGTGTTAAATTTAGTTACAAAAAAATTGTGAAGTAAATCTTTTACATCATTTCCTCCCAGAAAAACCAATCAAAACGATTACTTCTCTCACTACTCACAAATCAATACTTCAGTATTCCCACTATTGTCAAGTAACTTTTTTTCAAAAACAATTTCATTAGTTTTTCACTCTATCTAAATTGGTTTGTGCTTGTCAAACATCATGTTACATGGTTTGCTTACAATTATTTGTTTTTTGCAATTATTTGTTTTTTACATCTGTGTCTTCCCAGTTGTCCCCCCTAATTCCAGATATCTTTCAAACATTCAAACCATTCATATACATATTTTAGTATATAATACGACTACTATCATAATACTACTTCATAATATATAATATTCTCAAGATTTCCTAATAACATTCTTAATAAAAATGGTTCCAGATCCATGCCCTGACTTTATATCTAGTTTAATTTACCTAAAACGAACCCCCCCCATTACATCTTTACCCTGGTTAGGGTTCCCTTATTTCAATTTAATTCTACTTTTTAATATAAAGGATATGCCCCTTTATAATTCCCAAAGTTAAATATATACATGTTTTTCAACCTTAAGGGCCCCCTTCTTATTTTCCATCTTTTTAAGTACCGTATTTTTTGCACCATAAGACGCATTTTTTCCCACAAAACAGGGGGTGGAAAGTCTGTGCGTCTTATGGAGCGAAGAAAACAGATTATATTTTCCTCTTTTCTTCTCCTAAAAAATTGGTGCGTCTTATGGAAAGGTGTGTCTTATGGAGCAAAAAATACGATTCCCTCTCTTATTTCTCTTCTTTCACTCTGTGTTTCTGTCTCTCTAAGCATTCTGCCATTTTTCATGCCCTCTGAAACCGTTTTGTGAATCTGATTTATCTCCCCTAGATCTTTATACACTTGGTCTACCTTCAATAGATCTTCCAGACTTTTTAAAATTAACTTTGCTAATTTTCTCCCCTTGTTGTCAAGTAACTTTGTAAAGCACTGCTTTGCTTCATCTCCATACCACTATATTACAGCAGGATCCCTGTATCTGCAGGGGATTGGTTCGAAGCCCCGCCCACAGATACAAAAAACTATGGATAACAGCAAACCCTACAGTCTTTGGGGCCCGGAGCTCTCTCTGTACCTGTAAGGACAATAACTGAGGGTGGCTGGTGACAATGAGACTTGGGAGGTAGAGGGAATCACCTCAAGCTGGCAGAAGACGAGGCAAAATGGCAGCAAGTTATCGATATAGAATAGTGTCTGTTTCCCTTACTGGCCAGTTGTGGTAAGCATATCATATAAACACATATTTCTGGATTTTTTCATTTAATATTTTTAGTATTTTAAGACTGGATACTTGAAAATGTGGATACCAATCATGCAGATATGGGGTCCTAGTGTACTTCTAATTTGCCATCAGAATTACCGATGAAATGAGTTCTTCTTGTCTGCTGTCAGCTGCAACTCTGGTAAATTGTTCCTATTAAAGAATTTTGGATGACACACAACTGTTCGAGTTTTTTTCTCCAATGACATTCTTTGTTCTTGCCAGTCAAAAAAAGACTCATTTCAGCAATGTAATTCTACCACAACAAACAGTGAATATCATCTGTTTGGAAGTTTTGTTCTCTTGCAAGTCTACAGCATTCAGTACAGCACACCACAATATACCTTGTAGAAATCACAGCAAAATTTATGTGAAACAAAATATGCTATATTCTATAAATTTGTGTTAAACTATAACTTTCAAATTAAGTTTCAAATCTAAGTCAGCTTAGAGGAGTGTTTACTCCACAAGTTACATGGACACTAGTGCCTTGTTAGGTAAAGCAGATGTCTTATCTCCAGGAAGGCATATACCAACTAGGTACAATAATAGAGTTTGTGGAATCTGTGCAAATGCTTAACATTTTATGAAAAGTAGTAGCATAAAAACATAAACTGAAATAAAACATATCTGTCAGATGAGGTATAGTTGTCTCTGATTGTAAAACCAAATTGATTTTACAGTTGTCATTACCTTGCATTCTCTTTTGGTGAAAGAGAAACCTCCCCATCTGATGCAATGTGAATTTCACAATGCTCTGGTTGTATCCCTATCCCACATAGCTGTATATCCTGTGAGGTATCTGCACCAATCCGTGTATGATCCTGATTAAGACAGAAAGAATGAAAATGAATTCTGCTGCTCATATTAATGCTAAGTAAAAACCTTCTAATTAGAAAGTATATTCAATTTTCTCTACTCATCCTATATTCATATTTATTACACCAGAAAAAAAGCAGAGGTGGAGTGGCATGGGATACAGGATTGCCATCTTAGAAACCGCTCTCTAAATTTAATTTCAGAGAAATAAGAATATATTATAGGAATACCAAACCACAGTGCTGCATCTAACAACAACCAATAATCTTTATAAGACAGTAGTGTTTTTATGGCATGACTGTTCATAGCATTTTCTGCCAAAAATCCCAACAGGAATTATTTTGGGTCTATCAGATAGGTACAAGAAGTCATGCTATTAGGAACGCATAATGAGGAAAGATTTTAAAAATAGGTTTAATCATCACAATGATGACATAAATAAAACTGTTAGAAAACAATCCAGGTGCTCTATAATTGGAGATCTGAACTGGCAGTATTATTTTTAAAAATAAAAATCTCAGCGGAAGAGCTCACTGAAAAAAAAGTCAATATGCAAATCTACAAATGTTTATTAATAAACTGTATATAAACACTAAAGCACCCCAGTCATTTTTCTTTCCAATATGACTATGTTCATTCTGACATCAAATTCACAGGAGTAAAAGATATTTGTAGAACTAGCAGCAGACGTTTAAAACAGATAATAAAATCTAGCATTCTAAATCCCAGAGTAGCACTACTATAATGAAGAATTAGGGTAAGGAGTGCTTCATATTATCTTTTGCAATCTTCTGCAACATTAAGAACAATAAAATCTCATGTCTTTACTTTATAAAGTGTATAATCAAATATTAATTGCTACAATGTTTTCTTTTAAACTGCTCCCGTCAATATTTACACTTCAATAGTGCGCTGTCCTCTGGTGGGCAAGAGGACAATAGAAATAGCAGACCTGCTACATTTTTTAAATACAATGGTGCCTTGCATTACGACGTTAATTCATTCCATCAAAATCACTGTAGTACGAAAACGTGGTAAAGCGAAAATAAAAAAGCCACTGAAACGCATTAAAACCTGGTTAATGTGTTCCAATCAGCTAAGAGTCACCGTCCAGTGAAGATCCTCCATAGGGGCGGCCATTTTCGGGTGCCTGTGCAGCGAAAAATGGCTCCTAAACACAGCAGGGAGCCATTTTGAGCAGCCGGTGGCCATTTTGAAACCCCGACGATCAGCCGTTTTGATCGTTGGGAAGCGAAAATTCCCAGCAAAATTCCCCCATTCCCCGACAATCAGCTGTTTTGATCATCGGAAAGCAAAAATCAGATCCCGAAAAAGGGAACTGATCATCGCGCAGCAAAATCCCCCCATTCAAAATGTCGTTTTGCGATCGCTTTTGCGATCGCAAAAACCTTGTCGTAATGCAGATTCGTCGTTAAACGGAGCGCCTGTCTTGCAAGGCACCACTGTATCTCTAGAGAGGCCCGGAAAACTACCACCCTGAATCAGGCCTTTTCAGTGGTGGCCACAACACTATGGAATATGTTACTCACTGATATACGCCAGGCTCCTTCCCTCCTGATGTATTGGTGGCCACAACACTATGGAATGTGTTACTCACTAATATATGCCAGGCTCCTTCCCTCCTGATGTACAGGAAACAAGTAAAACTATGTCATTTAAAGAGGCCTTTAGAAATATTTTACCCCCTCTGACATCCTTGTGAGCCCATGAACTGAACTGAATTGAACTGACTATTGATTTTGAATTGCTGTGCAGATTTCCTTCTTTTTTTGGACATTCTGGATTATAATATTTATGAATATTGGTTCTTGTTATTTATGTCCTTGTCGGTGAGACTGAGCAGTTGTGTTTTAACTATTCTTAGCCACCCAGAGAAGTGCTTAGGCACTAGATGGGCGGGATATAAATGTAACAACTGTAATGAATTAGTACTGCCATTTAAAAAAGGCTACTACAGAGTATTTATCAATTATGTATTGTGACAGAATTCATACTCACTGTCTAGATGGGTGGGATATAAATGTAACAAATGTAACGAATTAGTACTGCCATTTAAAAAAGTATTTTTTAAAATAAATACAGAGTATTTATCAATTATGTATTGTGCCAGAATTCATATTCACTGGTACCTTTAGGTAATAAACTAATAATTCATTGAGTGCAGGATCTGCATTTAGATTCACCAGATAGCACTTGTCTTCTCCAACTTTTATCCCAGAAGATTCAAGGGAAATGCCCATACTCTCTAGCTGCTTTTGTCTCTCCTGTAAAATACACAGAAAGTCTGAAAATCATCACAATCTAAATGTTATGGGCTGTATCCAAAAAATCATGAGCGGAAGAAAAACAGCAGATAGCATTCCTCTGTAAATGCTTATATAAGAGTTCCTTCAGTAGACCACAACACATAGATTCTTCCATATTCACAAAAGGCTACATAAGAGGAATATCATCTCTGGATTTAGATGCATCTCTCACATATAACAACACTGTAACTTGAAGTGTAAAACTGATTCTTTTGTGACCAGAAGCAGCATTTTCACATTAAACAACACAAATGGAAATAGTCTACATTAATCTTCATCCAGCTAATTTTTTTAATGTTTGAAAGGTTATTTAAGAAAATATTCCATAAATTATGATTCTATTATGACTACTCAGTAGCATTGCTTAACATAATAAATAACAATATTTAATTTTAAAGCTTAGTATATCTATAAAAAGCAGTTTTAGAATATAAACTCTTTCTCCCCATGATCACTATTTTTTCACATTGCTTCTTGGTGGCTAACAACTATTTAAGACTAAAGATATTATAATGACTGGGTAAAATACATCTCCTATATTTCCTTGCAAATTTTTCAGGAAAAGGACACAAATATAAAAATAAACTAAAGCATGACTCATTTAGGCCAAATTAAGCCACATATTAATGTACCTGTTCCAAATCAGAATATCTTCAGCTTTGCTATAAGAAGGTATGCACGATGCTCACAGGGGATGAAAATATGATGAAATCTGAGCTGTCAAAATTAATGCTATAATGAGGAAAGCTTGGTGCTTTTTTAAATTTAAGTCCTGAACAAAGCCTATGCAAACACACAAAGTATGCTAGGATTGTGTGTTAGCTATCTGGATGTTCCCTGTTTATATATTAAATTTTGAAGTTTTTGATATGAAAGACACATTCAGTTGCATAGTAAGATACACCGGAAATTAAGGGAAACAACATGGTCACAGCCAGATCACTTCTGGAAATGTAAAAGTTGTTAATTTCTGTTAAGTAGGCTAAGTGATGGAAAGTTATTTGGCATAAACAATACAGAAAATACTTGAATACCTGTGCAATTTCTTCTGTTTTCCTTAACTTCTCCTCCCAGGTGACAGTCAATTCTTTTATTAACTTTTCAGATTCTTCCAACTTTTCCATCAACTCTGGTGCTTTCATGGCCTTAAGATTTAAAAAAGTGACAATTACAACCCTCTCAAGATTCCAGACCAGTCTTGAACAACTGTGAAACCCATTCTACTAAACCTTTCATTTGCCTATGTCAGACAATTAAACTATGATTAGGTCACAACAGAAGCATCATGGCTGTAAACATTTTCACCACTTTGAGACTGAACACTCAAAACACTCAAAATGTTTATTTCTCTTTATCAGATATATGTTTCTTTCCCTTCTGATAAGCAAACTTTCAAACATACTTTCAAACAAAACTAATTGGGATTCAAGTTTTATATCAGAGGAGATCATTAAACTTATTTTAGATCTGCTTCAAAAAGGAAGCCTAACGTCTTCACATTCCTTGCTGGAAAAACTATAACCAAGTGAAAAGACACTGTGACGGAATGCCCACGTCACTCCTGTCAATCATAGCTGAAGCTCAAGTGCAGGAGCCTATGAGAGCATAGGAGGGGCGGAGTCAGGGAGGCAGTTAGAGAGGGAGCATTAGGAAGGGAGAAGGTGAAAGAGAGAATGAGTATGTGGAGGAGAGAAATGGAATAGTCAAGATAGAGAAGTTGAGAGAACTGATATTATAAATACGTTGGTTAAAGTGAATAAATCAATAAAACCAATGAAGAATTGAATGTGTAACCAAAGATAAGAAGTTTAATGAGTGATTCTATAGGATGATTAAAAAGAACATCTGTGATTCAAATTCAAGCTAAATAAACAAGTTATGTTGACAGCAAGTGTCGGATCCAAGTATTGTGCAAGTGTGGATAAGGGATATGCACTGGTGGCAGCGGATGAAAGAGAAAACGTCACCAGAGTGAACCTTGGTTTGGGGGAAACAAACAGGGAACACTGGGTGGAACGTCACAGACACATTTCACACAAGCACCACAGGTAAAAGTAACATTTGTACAGACTTTACCTCTGCCTGGGAAAGCTGTTCTTTCAACTTCTCTACTTCTTCACGCAGTTCTCTGATGACCCTGGCGTTTGGATCTTCATTTACCACAGCATGATTAACTATCCGTTTAGCTCTGTCTGCATACCTCAATGTAGAGAGTGTTTCTTCATAATTATCAGCTGCTGGACTAATTGTAGCTATCATTGCTGTTTGGCTATTTCCTCCCAAGTTGTCCTAAAGAGTGGTATTAATGAATACATTAAGTAGACATGACAGATGGAAAAAAATAAAAGGCAACTTAATTTCAATGGATCTGCTCTAGCTGAGCTTAAAACTGGATGCAGTTCCCTGTATGCTTATATTTAATGATCTTTAAAATGAGATAAATTTCATTCTTTTGCATCTGACCTACAATGCATTAAATATGTTTCATTCTCAGCATTAGAAGTGACTGTATAAAAATTAAATTGGCAAACAAATAGCTTTTCTAAAATGTCAGGACTGTGTGAATAATCTGCAACACTGGGAGCAATCTATATCGCTAATTTTTTTCTAAATGCACTGAAAGTATGTATACTGGTATGCAAGGAACTGTGGTATCAAGCCATGACATATCCATCTCTTACTCTGAAATATGAAAGGGCCATGTTTTACCTTGAGAAGCCAGGTGAGTACAGAGTCTCTGTAAGGCACAAATTTGTTTTTCCCCTTTCCTGCTGCTTGGTCTGCAAGTGACGAAATAACCAAACCTAGTGTTGATAGTGACCTAGAAGAGCAACAAATTGTCACAAGATTGAACATAAAACAGTATTTTGCATAACATTAACAAGGCCTAGTCCTGCAAGACAAAGCAGGCTCTTCAATATACAATAAACTCCAGAACTTGTGAAAGTTTCCAAAGGATTTGAACAGTAGTCTGCAACAGGAGCACCACATGCAGTCAAATAAATAGCGGCCCCAGGACCACCCAAGAACTTGGTACATACAAGAGAGACAAAGGCAATAAAAGGATAGGAAAGAAATAGTCTTCAAGAAATAATAAAAGAGATAAAATCAAAATTGCTCTGTATCAGAACACTTTAACCAGAATTAACAACTGGTCATGAAAACAGTAAGAGTATCAAAGCTTCAGCTCTATTTATAATTTAATAATAACTTTAATACACAAGAGAAAAAATACTGGATGATTTAAAATATAGCAGTATTAGGAACTGATGCAATGAAATAAAAAAAAGTGATTCCTTCTGATATGACTAATTATGGTACATTCCCTGTAATACCAAATACCGGGCAAAATCCTGTTGCAGAAATCTATGTTAGTGTACACTGGGTTCGACACTGGAAATAACTAATATAAACTGATTAAAAGCTTCCTATAACCCTTTCAGGTTCTGAAGCTCTCTAGGTTCTCTTGTGCCCTGGAAAAGCTTTGGGGAGCCTCAGAATGGGAGGGGGAGGGGCAACTTTAGCAATAAAAAAAATAGTCACTTCTACAATCTATCCCTGCCCATGACAGCTTTTAAAATTGGCCAGTGATGTTACAAGTGGAATGGGCTGTATCGTGTGAATAACTCAATCAATTTTGATTGACCAAAAGGTCAGATGCCCACATGTGTTAAAAGAAACTACAGTACGGCCCTTTCTAAAAAACCTAATCCAGTGACCAATGATTTAAGTAATTAGAGGCCAGTCACCAATATTCCTTTTCTGGGTATGTTGGTTGAATGGATGGTGGCAGAGCAGCTCCAGGCATTGCTGGAGGAAACTGACCACCTTCATCTATTCCAGTTTGGGTTCAGGCCATTGCATGGCACGTCATGATGCATGATGACCTTTTGAGGGAGGCCAATAGGGGAGAAATGACCCTGCTGGTTTTCCTTGATCTCTCAGCAGCTTTTGATACCATCAGTGTGCTGATGACACACAACTGTCTCTCCTTTACATCTTCCGCAGTGGATGCTGTCTGGGTTCTGGAGTGTTGCCTGGCCTCGATATTAGCATGGACCAGGGCTAAAAGGATGAAACTGAACCTGGACAAAAACAGAGGTCTTGTTGGTTGGAGCCCTCCCGGACAGGTTGGCCAGCTATAACCAAGTTGGATAGAGATACCCTTCCTCTTGGGGACTGAGTGCGTGACTTGGGGGTGAGCTTAGACTTGGCCCTCTCTTGGGAACATCAAATAGTGACTGTCATGAGGTCAGCCTTCAATTAGCTTCAGCTGATTGCCCAGTTATGTCCATACCTCAATGAATGGGTCCGTGATGACACTGATTTGTGCACTGGTGATCTCCAGGATCAACTATCTCGTGAAGTTGCTCAGAAACTGAAATGGGTGCAGAATTCAGTGGCCAGGTTGTTCACTGAGATGGCAAAGTTTGATCATATCTCCCCAGTGCAGGCCCAACTGCATTGGCTCCTTGTGCCTTTTCAAGCCAGATTCAAGGTACTGGTCTTAACACACACAACCCTTAACAGTTTGGGAGTGTCTCCCCACAAGAATATCAGCCCAGCCCATCCATTCCACTTAGGCCAGTCTCCCACAGAGGGAGGCAAATAAGGTCTCCATGAGTAGTTAAGCCTTCTCCGTAGTGGCCCCACATCTTTGGAACAATCTCCCGGTGGAGATTCATCAGGTCTCCTCCCTTCAAGACTTCAAGAAGTGGTTAAAGACCTTTCTCTTTGAGGAGGCTTTTAGAGAGATCCTCCCATCGAAGTAACTGTGAACATGTTGCCATCAATTTCCTTTTCCATTGTTATTGGATGATTATGGACTGAGTCCATTTGTGATTTGTCTGTCTGTTTCTGCTACAATAGCCACGTTGAGGTCTGTAACAGAGTGCCCTGAGAGCTGGAAATGTTTTGAAATCAATTTCTCTGTTTTACCATTCCCAATGTCAGATTTTGTCCATTTATTATTTTGCAGATATTGTCTTAGTTTTTTTCTTTTGCCTCCCCCACTTCCTTTGTCAACAGGCCGAGACAGGTTAACTCAACTACATATTTGGAATTTGTTGCATACAACATGCAACTACACGTTGCTAAGAAATTCCTGGCAGTGCCAGTGCAGATTTAATGCTCCACCATGGTTACACACAACAGGGAACAGAATGGAAGTATTAATCCAAGTTAGGGGGAAAGAGGAAGAATATGTGATCCTAAAATTGATTCTCAAATTGTTAACAGTCATTACAAGACTAGTCAGCCATATTTGCATCAGGCTGAAGTGCTATTGAATCATCCGTCCTCCCAGAAAATATCTTCTCCTTGAATGGATTAAAAGAGGAGAAGAGCAGGTACAAATGTATAACAATGTATTTCTTTATAATAAACATCTAAATAAGAGTTATCCACGTTTCAACTCAGTATCAATTTTTTTGCAAATAAATTAAAGAGTTTTATTTTTGTTGCTGTTTTAGACCCATCAATATGCAGGTATTTTTTTCCTAGAAAATTTCTAAATAAAAAAAGGGGTGTAGCCATTTCATTTCTATTGAAGTACTTCTCTTACTGTGTGCAACTACCATTGCTTCAGCCATGGGAGGCCCAGGTATTTGTAAAAGCTACACATCCTTAAATTATAGCCTGTTAAGTATGCTTCAAATTACATAAAACAATGGAACACAATTTCTAAGGCTTCTACAGCCATTAAAATTGTACACTCTTTCTTAATCTTTGGCATGGTACCTAGAGCTGTATGCCGGGAAATTAATGCGTGTAGAAACTGTAATGTGTGGTAACTTCTCTACTCAATGAATGTTATTGTCAATTCAAATTAAAAATCTCACATTAATCACATGGGTGGGTTATTACTGGATAAAAACTACAGACAAATGAGGCATTAAATCATGAATTATTATAAAACTGAAGACTTAGTTATTATTTGTTGTTTGCATGCAGCCAACTGATCAGGGGGTTGTGCTGCCACTAACTGCAACTAGAAAAATAGAATTTTACTTGGATAGTTCATTCATGCCCTTACTTGTTTATATTGCTGCCTTCCTTCAGACGTTCTCCTGCTGCTCCTGTCTTAGATACTCTTTCACTGCCAGCCAAATCTACCAGGCTGAGTTTGCTCACTTTCTCTCCTGAGTTCTAAGCAGAAACAAAAATAAAAATTAAACAGAAGGTTACATGAGGAGCTCTTTTATGATTTCTCAATGTACTGCAAGCAAAAAAGTGACAAAACATGAAAATGTAATAAAGCTCAAAAAACAAAAGCTATCGCTGGATTTTACAACCCTCTTTTAAGCCACTTACTCACTCCTCTCTAAAAAAAACATCACTATCATCAGCTGAACGCAAAACATATTCATAATTCCTTTTCCTACAAAATAAATTTAAATATGCATTATATTTTATTTACCTGTTATGAAGATGTAATTCTAAATCACTGTGGGATCAAAACCATGCTAACAATTTGCCATCAGACAAAAATAAAAAATCACCAGACTGTTTCAACAAAGCACATGAATGCTATCTCCTTACCTTTTCCCTTGCACACTCCCTAAGCAGAATACATCTTATGTATAAATGTTTATCCATGTATATTTATAAAACTGAAGATACAGATATAGCACCCATTTTTAAAAATGCATAGCAGCTCTATCCTTCTACTTAAGCACGATTTTTATATCCAGGGCCATGTCACTGTTGGATTCACTGAGCAGAGAATAGCAATCATGCAGTTTTCACTATTCTGGAAGACTGCACAATTGACATCCTATAAAATGGTGGGAATTGCTTGTGTTATTGCCATTCCATGCGCAGTAGATCCAACAGGACTGTGGCTTAGGTTTTTAGTTTACTAGTTCATTATTTAGATTACCTTTCCAATGCAATTTTAAAAAATCCTTAAGTTCACTTCACTTACACCAGACTGCAGATCGTAAAGTGTTTGTGTTACTACAATATTGAATACAGCATGGGAACGACTGCTTTCCTCGTTCATGTTGGTTGCTGCAACTGTTCGGGACTTGTTTCCCTCTGACATCAACGATTCAATATCCTGAAGCATAACATAAAACAATGGATATGAAAATAAACTTATTTCCATTTGCAACATTTTCAATGTATATGAAACATTTTGCAAAATTAGCACATTGAAGAATGTGAAGCATGATTTGGGACTACAAATAAACATGAGTAAAGCAGAATATGTGAATCTGGCTTTTGGTCCTGCCTTCCACTTAGACTGCAACTACACTGGCAAGCTGAATTGCTCTGGTTCAGCTTTGCTACTATTTGATTTGCAGCCTGTGTTATGGCTGAATCCACAGTCAGTGATCACATACAGGCTGAAAATTGATTCAGGAATTCACTCTACATGCTCAGTGTGATGCGGTTCACATTTCAGCCCATAGCCCCCCTTCTTTCCTCCCTTCCTCTGTTCCCACCTCTGCCGATCCTTTTAGGGTTTGCTAAAAGCTGTGGTTTTGAAAGGGATGTACAGTCTTCTGGAAAAGGTGGCAGAACTTTCCAAAGTTCTTCTTAACATATATAGAAATGTCACATACCAAAGGAATTTTTCTTTTTTAAAATTTCATCTGTGTTGTTTATGTTTTGTTTGTAATTTTTGTAAAAAAAATTCCTCATCCAGAGGTAAACTAGTACTAAACTGGAATATTAATAGTAGTGATGCGATGCTAAGATGTTCTCGCACTAATCTCATATATTTTTTAAAAATTGGAGGATGACTTGGGGGAAAGAACTCAGGAGTGGATGTTCCCACAGTCCTGAACATCATGTCCCACCTGTCTGCATCACCAAAATACCACCCAACATACACATCCTTTGTCTTTACAAAACCCAATCCAGTGATCACACAGGAAAAAGTCAATTTGAATTGTTCTTCCTCAAAAAAGTTGAAGCCTCTAGCTGGAGAAAAAAAAAGTCACGTTGGGAGCAAAAAGGGTTGGACTGATTCAAATGAGCCTTTGCGTTCTGTAATCAGAAAAAGATACTTAAAATCAAGTATTGGACTGATCTTTGGAGTTCAGGGTTATACCAGAAGGAGAAATTTCAATTATCATTTTAGTGTCAGGAGGAAAGCCGCATGTCCTGAGCATTTAGGATTAAGTAAGTCTCCTCTTCCAACACATCCTCAAAATCTATATTCCATATATATTTAATAACTAAATAGGCCAATACAAATCATTTTTGCAGAAAAACACATCATCACATTTACACTATCACCATTTAATGAGATCAGAGAGTTATTTGAACAAGAATCACAACATCTGATTTATGTGTAAACTTTACAGACAATTATATCAAGTCTAAATCACAAGTTTGCTTAAGTTTAACAAGACTGATGAAACCTCACCTCCACACACCCAATTGGCACCCAATTTTCTTTTTAGAGTAGGGGAACAATCATCTGTCAATAGCTGTTTACTGCTATGATGAATTCCACACTAAAGTTTCACACAGAATAGTCTTTTATTTGAATACATATTAAAATGAATAAATACAAGTTGTGTTATTTATTTGTTTGTTTGTTTGTTATTTCAGTTGTAAGCCGCCTTTCTCCCAGTCAGGGGACCTTGGTATGCATTTCTTTTTCTTTCCTAACATGTTTTTCTCTTTTTGCATACACTTCAATGATATACATATTTTTGTAGCAATCTTTTCATATTTAGGCATACATTTAATACCATTCAATTTTAAGAAAGAAAAATCTCTTCCTTCATATATTTCATATGCCATTCATCCACTCAGTAGTTTATCCGGTTTGGCACTGATTGGTGTGTTGTGACTTCCTTATTAAGCTCTTCCCACTTCTCCCCATCCTCAAGGTACTTACTATTCAATTCATTTGTTCTTTACCTACCTCAAAGCTAGTAACTGCTAGTTGAGACAAACCGTCTACATATGGACCCAGAACTTTGTGCTCACGAACTTTGAGGGACTGTCGACTCCTTTGAAACAACAACAAAAGTCCTAATATATAATTTACCAGTAATTGTCAACTACAATATACTCTGAAGGAGAAAACATTATTAAAAAATGGTTGATTACAACAATTTTGATAAGAATAATTTAACTTTTTCACACTATAACATATTATTCTAGCTACCTATATATTTTTTAATTTTTGGAGTTCATTCTTACAGGCACTTCTTTACAGCCGGGCTCCGCAACAAGCGGTAAACTGGTCTGGGAAAAAATCTCCTTGGGAGCAGGGCTGCAAAGCAAAAAACTGTGAGCAGGAAAGAATTCAACCCTCAACTACCCATGTACTTTTTTACTCTTTAAATGTAACTTCTCTCCTTTGCAAGGAAAGAATAACAAATAGCTACGTTTAAACATGCAAGATTCAATCATCTTCTATAATTTAGGCCTCAATATACTGTGCACTCTCATTTCAAACCAGGCCTGTTGTTTAATATGGTAACATGTTACTCACCCTTTAGGGTCTAGTAAGTCTCTGACCTTCTCATTATAGATTTCCATATAAGACACTTCAACTTTAAAGGTGTGCAAATCATTTTCTTCTGAAGTTATTCTCTGAAATAAAGCACAGCAGAGGCGTGGGATCAGACCCAGGTGCTCTGCATTCCCCATCATTGAGAAGGATTTCCCTGAACCTGAAAGAGAATATAGGACAATAACATATTTTAACAGGTACCTAGAGCTTTTAGAAGGAATTCCTACACTAATATATTGCATAGGCAAACTAAAATGATGCTTTAATATGTTGAAAACTAGCACATCTACCCTGTTTATGAGTAATATGTGCACAATATTACTCATAAACCATGTATATGTTAAGTAGAGGAAAACATAGTAGTAAGCACTGACCGTTTTTACAAATAACTTATCTTTGTACTTTACTGTCAAGTGCACATCCTGAAACATTCCTCTGAAAGCTCGTAAATAAGGAGAGCCAACAATTCTTTAGAATGTTTACACAAATATACCTAATAAGTTTAGCTATAAAAGGTGTAAAAAAATGAACTTCTGTCCATACTCTTAGCAAACAAAGAACACTGGGTCTATGTACAACCTTCTAAAATCAAATTGACCCATTAGAAATGTAATGAAGAAGAGAATTTCAAAGCTTGAGCAGCATTCATCAATTTCACTAGTACTATACAACCAAAGCAGTTGTCTTGGACGATGAATTTAAATCACCCTTAACTACAGTGGTGCCTCGCAGAACGGTCGCTCCGTAGAGCGACAAATCCGCGCAACGGTGCCGTTTTTGCGATCGCAAAAGCGATTGCAAAACGGCACCTAGATAGGGCACAATTCACAGAGCGAAGGTCGGTAAGCGGTTCGCTTACCGACCTTCACTTTCTGACCCGCCGATCAGCTGTCCGGCGGGTCCAAAATGGCCGCCGCGTGACCCCAAAATGGCTGCGTGCAGCGTTTTCGCACCCTTGGTAAGCGAGGGGAGGGCATGAAAATGCTGCCGGAACAGCCGAAATGGCTGCGCGCAGCGTTTTCGCGCCCTCCCCTCGCTTATCAAGGGCGCGAAAAAGCATCATTGAACGGTGAGTATTCAGCCCAATTGGAACACATTAAACACTGTTTATTATTATTATTTATTTATTTATTTAATTTATATGCCGCCCACTCTACCCAGAGGTCTCTGGGTGTTCCAACTGGTTTTCTTGCCCCGTTCAACGATGCTTTCACACAGCGAGGGTTAATCCGGAACGGATTAACGTCGCTGTGCGAGGCACCACTGTATATTGTGACAATGATCACATCTAATTTCTGTTTCACTATTTACTTGGTGAAATAGAGATTTTCCTCTTGCTTTCATCATCCCTGGGTTTGCATCACACCCCTTCATGAAACATTCATCCTCTACCCTTTAAATGGATAGTTAAAATAATCGTCTACATCATACTCAAGAAATGTTCTAAACCGGTGGACTGTTTGTAGACGCTATGGTTGTGCTTGCAATGGTACAATAATGATGGTTTAATTGCACACTACACCTGGAGTAGACTTTGTCTAAAAGGGCGGGATACAAATCAAATCAAATCAAATCAAATAAATAAATAAATAAATCTAGATGAGGTAATAATGATTTTTTACTGTTAGCTATTTAAAGAATTTTGTCTGCTTTATTTACAACATATTCCTATATGAAATTTAAATTACAACATCTTGATCAGAGGGCTGCAAGAAAAGCCAGAAGAGCAGCCACTGACTGAGCCAATGGCTCTGCAGTGGTTTGATAGTAGCAAGGCAGGCCAGTGAAAACGCAGCAGTGTATGTGAATACAAAAACAGAGCTATGTCAAAGAAAAAAGGGTGGGGGAACAGAGAAAAACAAGGCAGCTAAGAAGAAACCCTACCTTTAACTCAGAGAACATTACAAGCTGGCGAGAAAAGGACACTGATCTGTGGCTTTGTCTTCCACAAAGCAGGAAATATGACAACCCCCTAGGGAAATCAAACATTGGCTTTTGCAACCTGGTAAGACATCCCTCTCACCTGTTTGTCCATAGGCAAAAATGCAAGCGTTATATCCCTGAAAGGCCTTCTCAAGGATTCCTTCACCAAGGCACTTAAATACTACTTGCTGACCTACAGAAGTTAAAAAACATAATTGAGAACGCAAGTCTTGAACATTAATGAATAATAACAAAGCAACAGCACTTGTCAACAATGACACTGATAGCTAAATCAACAATTGGACCATTTCTAACTTAATGCTAGCAGAGACTGCAATGTCTTAAATAAAACTAATGTTAATAGTAGAGTTTGCAGGCATTTGAGTTAAAAAAAACCTCTTCCCTATTTGTGTGTGTGTGTGTGTGTGTGTGAGAGAGAGAGAGAGAGAGAGAGAGAGAGAGCATGCATCCACGTTGCATTTAGAATTAAGAAGAAATGTCTGAGGAAATGGTATTATATTTTTGTTTTAATTTTTTAACATCTATCCTCAGGCAGAATTATGTGTAACGTTTGAGGAACAACTCATTTACTATTTGCACTGTGTTGTAATTGAACAGCATAGCTATTTTTATTTTATTTCAGCTTGTTAATTAATCCCAACTAAAGATGCTACTCCCCTTCACGGATTGCTGCCTTGTCATGGCAAAGATGCATCAGTAATTCAGAGAAGCTATGAGCTATGCCGTGCAGGGACACCCAAGATGGACAGGTCATAGTGGAGAGTTCTGACTAAACACGATCCACCTGGAACAGGAAATGGCAAGCCACTCCACTTTCTCTGCCAAGATAGAGCGCAGAGGCTAATACAGTTTTGTCAAGAGAACAAGCTTGTCATCACAAACACTCTTTTCCAACAACAAAAGAGGCGACTCTACACATGGACATCACCAGATGGGCAATACTGAAATCAGATTGATTATGTTCTCTGTAGCCAAAGATGGAGAAGCTCTATATAGTCAGCAAAAACAAGACCTGGAGCTGATTGTGGCTCTGATCATCAGCTTCTTAGAGCAAAACTCAAGCTTAAACTGAAGAAAGTAGCAAAAACCACTGGACTAATCAGGTATAATCTAAACCTAATCCCTTATGAAAACGCAGTGGAAGTGAAGAACCAATTTAAGGGAACTAGATTTGGTGGAGAGAGTGCCTGAAGAACTATGGATGGAGGCTCATAACATTGCACAGGAGGCAGCAACAAAGACCATCCCAAAGAAAAGGAAATACAAGAAAGCAAACTGGCTGTCCAACAAGCACTAAAGCTGTCCAACAAGCACTAAAATCCTCACTTCATTGGGAAAACAATTGCCCCCCCACTGCACACACATGTGCAATACTCAAATCGGTACCATATAAACAGTGTAAGCAACAAAATTTTAGAACTCCTCACCTAAATATACTGATAATGAAAAATTATACCTGCGTATTTCGCAATGTTTGATTCATCCATAGACCAAAAGCAGTAATCAAAGGCAAACACCTACACAGGCACATTAAAAAATTAAATTAAGAACTTTTAATTTCACAATTAACATCAGTTTATTTGAATATTTGCAAGTTTGAAAAAAACATAATTACAGTATTTTACTAAGATTTTTTTTTCTCCAATTGATCCAGCTGATTTCTCTCATAGAATACAGTATGATACTAAAAATCTCTATCCTGATACTATTCTCTTAAAGACTGATCATCAGTAGCATTAGTTAAAGTGTGGTCTCTATCTGATTTATCATTGTTATATATGCAGGCAGCTGAAAAGCTTAGACATCTGTTAGAAATCTCATCAATAATAGACAGCAGACTAAGGTACGCTAGTAGAATACAAAGGAATGGAAAAGGAATCTTACCCCTCAGTTCAAATACAGAGAAAACTTCACACATCTTTAATTTAATGACTTTTTTTAGCCACAAGAAAATTCAAGAAAATTTTTAAAACCTGTTTTAGTTGCAACATTGTACTGAGGAAAACAACACACTCCTGAAGAAAATACATTTTGTTTCCAATTATCATTACAATTCTCACATTCAGGAAAACTGCTTCTATTTAAATTTTACACCCTATCTAAAGAATAATCAGCATCCTATTTCCATCAGGTTAATTATGTAAGCTTTTTCATAGCTAGATTTAGCATAACAAAAACTTGAAAACATATTCTACTTACTATACTATCTAAGGTATTCAATATTATTTCTCCTAATGAATTCTGAAAGGGAAAATAGGTGTGTGTAAAGGAGCTACAGCTGGATGTGCTTTTTCTTCCTTTAATAAAATCAAGCAGCTTCAAGAAAAGACAATTTAGACTGGTTGAATTGTGCAGAAGACATACACCCCATTTTTCCCAGAACAGCTGCTTCAGCAAACATGAGTTTTCCTATGGCTATTTTACAGATTTAAAACAGCAACAAGGAAAGATTTTTTAAAATGGCAGGAGATTCTATCACAAATATCACATGTAACCATAGTCCTCAGCTACCTCTTGCGATGTAGTGGAATACAAACATGGGTATGGAAATCATGAACATTTTCTATCTCTTAGATCATGGTTCTCAACCTTGGGTAGCCCAGATGTTCTTGGATTGCAACTCTCAGAAAACCCCAACCAGCACAGCTGGTAGTAAAGGCTTCTGGGAATTGCAATCCAAGAAGCTGGGTTACCCAAGGTTGGGAATCACTGTATCTGAAGAAAAATGCAGTTTGGGTGTACAAAAGACATACATTTCCCAATCCTTTGTCCTTCAATAAAGTTTAAAGGAGAGCAGATCTCAAGTTATTTATATAGTCAGCTATATATGTGTGGATCATTTCAGTTTCATGCAGTGACAAGGATGTCCAACTTAAGAGAACTTGACCCAGGTACATGAAGGGTATTATTATTCCAATGAAAATTTAAACGAATTCACAGTAACTCACAAATAACCCAGCACATGCATCTTGCAAAGACCTGCTAAACGTATATGTGCCTTGTTTGATTGACAATGACTAAGACTTGTGTGACTATTCATATTAAAAGAACTGGCCTGTGTAACCATTTTTGGGGTTTGGTTTGCACTCTGAAGAAATGTATAGGGGGAAAAAGGCATGTTTTTGCCACAGTTAATTTAATAGTATAGAACTACTGAGCATAAATAGCTCTTTAGCATGCAACCCAACTAAACAGGAGATTGTAGTCCCTAAGGGCCGTGATTTGTTTCAGAGTATACACAGAAATAGACCTAAAATGAATGTATTCTATGACATTGAGAACTGAAAACTCATAATGTCCTTAAGTTTCAGCCACTTGCCACCTAGGACTTTGTAACAAGTAAAAACTGTCACTTTAACCCTAACTTTAACGCTACTGACTACCTCACTACATTGGAGTTCCAATGGGGTCAGAATATATTTCAGAATTCACTCAATTTTTTATCAGTGTGGATGAAAGCATTGTTATGTATCACTATAAACACATAATTTGTTGTTACAGAACAAAAACAGAATGAAAAGGATAAAGGTTCACTTACTTTTGGTTGTTTTCTGAAGCATGGAAATTCATGTGGCAGAGAGGGATTGTGAACATATCATCCACATAAATAGAAAACAATAAAAAGAATGGCAGAATGGTTAGTGTCTGAAACAACTGTGCATTCTGTATATGCCACAGGCTATATGGAGGGAAATATAATGGAACTTATTGTTTATCATTTTAGGAAATGAGTCCTTTTCCCACTTCCACAACTAAACTAGTTTCGGACATGCTTTTTATGGATCAAATGGCTCTCCAACCAATTTTCATAGATTCCTTCTTTCCTCTCCCATATTATAAAATTATTTTCATAATGAAAATAAACCTTAGAACCTTCAGGCTTACCTTTGCTATTAAAAATCTCACAAGCTAGAGTATGAATGCAAGCTACGACTTTCTTATTTAGTTCCTAGCTAAACTGAATTTCTATATTTCATTTATTTTATTATTCTTTTAGGTACCCGAATCACAAACACTATACTGTATCACGTAATAAAGATGACCAACGACCCATTAAAAGCCACTTCCTCAGAAACCAGTATGATTTCCAATTAATATAATGTTTATGACAAAAGTAACATGAAGTAATGAGTCTTTCAGATTAGTTTTATTTATGTAGTCTGCTGATTTAATTATTGTTGTAATATTGCCTTTTGAACTAATTTTTAAGATGAAAAGAAAATGACAGAAATCACTATTTAGATTAATAATGTTGTACTTCTTAGCTAGTCTTCCCTATTATTGGTCAAGACATCCCTGCAACAGTGATTTTCAGTAATTAAAGACTCCCCACTTCCATATCACAGCCTCTGCGGATGAAAGGGATTATAGAAGAGCCTCAAGAACTTTGGGAGAGAAGTCAGAAATGCTCAGTTTCTGAAAAATCACCACTGCTGATAACATGTAGCTTAAATTATGGCAAAAGGATTTCAACCCTTACTTGCAAAACCTTGCACACAGCATAGATTAATACTAATATTTAAGAAATATTTGTTTAAATTCACAAATCATACTGTGCAAGCACTGTCTCTTCTTTATTTCCTTTCTCATGGACTGACATGCCTACTCTTGTTTTCACCTTTTTAAAAAATTACTGTAAATATGAATATGCAAATATGAATTATATATTGAACAGCAAAATGCACCCCCCACCTTTTATATACACCATCTGGGATTCTTGTGCAGTTTAGTTCTGTCACATACTGTTCAGATTTAGGTTTGTTACATTTAACCCCTATATGGTCTTTATACTGTAACCCCTATATGTGAGAAAACTAGCCTGCCTGGCCCTGGGCAAGCTGCACAATCCCAGAGTGCCCTCAGAAGAATGGAATGATAAACCACTTCTATTATCTACCTGGAAAACCCTGAAAAAGTCAGTCAGAACTGACTGGACAGCATTTCATTATTATAGGTAGATAATCTTCACAAAGATTAAGTTGTATGTCTGCCACTGCTGATATATGGTCAGCTGGAAAACAGTAACTTTATATACAAAGGGCTGCATCTATCCAAAATTATGACTAGAATGACAGTTTGAATAAATACAGATTTTTATTTCTAAACTAAATTCTTGTTTGACTTCATGGAATGAATGTCCACACTAATTATGATATTTATAATGTTTTTGAATGTTATCATATTTCAGGAAATTACATCATTTTTACTATTTTATCTTGTTCCTGTATTTCAGGAATAAGAAATCTGGCGCCCTCCAAACGTTTTAGACTATAACTTCCATATGTCCCAAACCAGCAAGGCCAATGATGAGGAAATAAAAAATATATGGAGTGCACCAATTTGTCCACCTACTGCATAAAAGTGGCAATGCTTCTGTTTCTAAGTTCCTTCTGCCATAACATTTACTTTGATTATCTTTCAAAATGCAATAATTCAGTGATTCAAACCAAGCAGATAACAAAGTGGCAGTTATGGCAGTCTGTTTCTGAATATTGGAAAAATTAAAAGGGAAAAATAGACGAAATACTTTGGCACCTTAAAGACTAACAGATTTGTTTCAGTGGACATTTTTATGCATCTTGAAGAAATTGATTTTGACCCACAAAAGCTCATAATGAAATCATTCTGTTAGTCTTTAAGGTGTGTTATATTTTGCTCCTTTTATCCTGTTAATTTTACCAACTATATTAAGCAATCTATGAGCATTCCTAAAATATGAATAACTGAATACTCTCTAAAAGATGTGAAAGGAATCAATAGCAGTTCTTGCTATTTACTCCATAACGCCTTTAAAAATATTCTGAACTAATATTCTGAACTAAATAGTACTCACATTCTGAATGCTATCACAGACTCATTCATCAGATCAGTGCCCTTATCCCACATGAGATCTGTGTGTGAAAGATTCCATGACCAGAGCATATGCAAATCAGCATATGAATATGCATTTATATTTACGCTGTGAAACTCATTAAGAACCCACTAAACTGACACCACTGAAGCACAGGTTAGCTCTTAATTATATTTCCCTAAAATGACTATTAAAACTGGAACAAAAATTCTACACCAAGTATAGTGTGAATGTTGGCCGTACTAGGGATGTTATTACATACACCCTGAATCAGGTTTACATACAACCATCTCAGTTTCCTGACAGAAAATGGAAATGACACCTAATGTGTAACTCCGGATGTCAAACATAGTCACTAGAAATTCAGTTGTACCGAACAGAAAATTATGAGAACGAGCACTGCTTTATAAAAACCATACTGCTGTTAAGACATTTGTTTCAGCTACACCCACATTTACAAAGCAGATTGATACAGTGTGTCAGTATCAAGGCAAGACATTTCACACACATTTTTATACAGTACATATATGCTGACAGGAACAATGGTTGAACAAGAAGTTTATTCTTCACAGGCAGTAGTGCTACACTTTCAGGGTTTGTGTGTGAATACACCATCACTACAAAGACAAAAAAGTCGCTGCAACTCAGTCATAAAGCATATGCTTTCCATGCATAAAAATCCAAGGTTCCAATAAAAACATATCGGGTGGCAGGGTTCAGAAAGATTTTTAAAATGTTAAAGGGCAGCTCCTAAACAACACAGGCAATAAAGGTTAGTTGAACTCATGGTCTGAAACAAAGTACACCAATTTTGTAGGTGTATTAGATTAGATTAGGCACCTTTCAGTCTCCAAAGATTATAGTAACGTGCTCTGAATGGAGGACTTGGAACAGCGTCTAGAGTGGCTGAGAAGGCCAATTTGAGAGTGAAAATCCCTTCCACAATGAAGACAAATACAATCTATCCTCTGTCCAGCTCCCTGATTTTGCTGGTTTCAGGACTGCCTCTTTGCCTCGGTCTGCTGGACAAGGGTCTCTTCAAAATGGGAGAGCGTAGGTGTATAACATAGCAAATATCCTCTAATCAACGATTTTCAGTATTTGGAGTACAAAGAGAAATGTCGACCACCGCTCTCCACAAAAGAAATTGTTGCTATCCTTTTGCTACTACACTGCTAAAAGTACTTTCTCCCACAAGAACCATGCAAAGGCACAGAAAGTGCTCCTTTTTGCTATACTAGAAGCTACCTGTGTGGCTCTGAATAAATCAATAGGTTAATCAAAGTCAAAGATTATTATACATCATATTAGACACTTTCCTCATTTTTTATATGCTCATTTTGTCCTTGGGCTGTGTGTGTCCCGAGAAGACCTAGAAAATGAATGTGTTTGGCTATGGAAATCTTAATTAAAGGATCAAAGTATGCCCTCTATGTAGGGGTTACCCTTGAAGTCAGTACCAAAACCTCAGCAGGTCCAAAATGTTTCTGCCAGATTGATTTACAGGTACCAGCAGATATCATCACACATCCCCAGTCTTGGCACACCTTTATGGGCACCTTGTTAGTTTTTATACCCAATTATAGGTGCTGGTCCTGACCTATAAAGTCCTTAATGGCTTAGGACCTTGATCCACGACAAAATACCTCTCCTACAAAACTGCTACCCATCCCACCCTCTCCTTGCAGTCCTTGACTTAAAAACTGTGGCACCTAAAGAGGCCAAAAGAGTGAACACCAGGAACTGAGCTTATATAAATATAATATAAATCAATATAACCTTCTGCTATCAAATGTTTTATATATTGGTATGAGCAATCAGCAATGGAATGGACAGATGTAACAAAAAGGAAAAGAAAAGCGTGCTGCTTATATACTGCCCCATAGCGCTTCAGGCACTCTCTGGGTGGTTTACAAGTTCTTTATGCAAGCTACACATTGCCCCTCCGGCGAGCTGGGTACTCATTTTACTGACCTCGGAAGGATAGAAGGCTGAGTCAACCTTGAGCCAGATAACTGGGATTGAACCCTGGGCCGTAAGCACAGTTTTAGCTGCAGTACAGCAGTTTAACCACTGCGCTGTGAGGCTCTTAGCTTTCACATAGGCAGCAAGGAGAGAGGGGGTAAAAAGGAGAGGACAGAAGAGAAGAGAGACCAGGGTGGGCCTCACACACATTTGGCTCTGTCCTCACCCACTGCTAGCATGTGAATCCTGAAAAGCTGCCTGGCAACACTGAACCTCATCCAAAAAAAAAAAAAAAAGATTCGCCAATTCCTACCAATTCCCATTTACCTCTAAATAATCAACAAGTATAGCTTATTTCCAGCTCATCTATACACAAATTAATGACCAATTCTACATTTGTTTTGACATAAAAATTGAAACATTTTTAGAAATTAACTGGAATGGTCAATCCAACATGGGGTGTCTTGACTGTTGTTTTTTAAAGACAGCTCCCAAGAAAACATTATGAAATAGTTTGGACTCTAACACAAGAATGACAAGCCATTTGTCCGTCCATATGAATGCTCCAGAATCAGAATATAGTTGTGCAAACAATCAAGTCAACTTAAGACATAATTAATATTTAAATGAATTAATATGGAATTCACTTTTCAGATATTATTTTACTTAATGATTTCTTGTGCTATTCCCTCTCTCAACCATTTAATTCTTTATGGTTGGAAATTATAATTCTAA